GAGCATTAAGACCTGCAGTGTGAACGTAGCCATTGGTTCAAAAACACAACACAACCAGGAAAAGCACTCAAACTGTAAAAACACGAAACGCGGTGTCAGGTGGCAGCAGTAAGTCTCGTTTCGTTTCCACATCTCCTGTTTTCACAGCTGCCCACGTGTCGCCACAAGCTTTGTCATTTCCGACCCTAAAGGTGCCGAAAGCTTCTGTGTACAAACAAACAAGTGATGAGATAATCACACCGACACTGAAACAACCAGGGCTGCTACCACACTATTGTGTTTTGCAACTATTTTTGGAGGCAGAGGATCAAAGTTTACCACAACTTTAAAAAACAAAAACAACCTGTGCCCGTGTTTTTCTTTATTTTTTTATTCGTTTCATCATCACATGGTGTGACCCAGTGGAGAGTAGAAACTGTCAGAAAGAACAGACTCTTATAATGAGTGAGCCTTTCCYGGTCAATAAGTTTCCCGCTTGGTTAATTTTTGAACAGTTCTTTCTTGTCCTCCTGCAACAAATGAGTTGCGAACTTCTTTAAAGGAAAACGKAGTAATCAGCTGCTGACCTCAGTTCAACAAATAATGCCTCACAAGTTTCCATCCTGTTTTAATGTGCATTTAGAGCGGAATTTTGTCGCGAAAAAAGAAATGCGCATCAGACGTGTTTCCATCAGCTGGCTTGGAGYRAATCAACCAGGCTACGCAAAGTTGAATTACGCCAGAGATTGACGTTACATATGGCTGTAGTAAACAGGAAGTACAGTGGTAAACTCGCAGGGACACATCTCGGGACAATAGCCTATATGCCACGGTCATTAATGACGAATTTCTGGTAAAATTCTTGCCACGCTCCTCCCTTCCACTCCCTGCCTACTGCCTATGTTTTTACCKTTAGCTGCTAGTACTAGTCCGTGAAGAAGTCACAAAAGTTACAAAGGTAGGTGTGTGTGTGCGCGCACGTTTGTGTTATACAGAGTATGAAATGTTTTTAGGCAACTTTGTCATGAGTTTTATGCAAAAATAAAACCTTGTTAGAGTGTATATTACAGCGTAGACTAAAGCCGAGTGACGAGCGCGCCCCTCCTCTCCTCCACCCGAGCACSGAGAGCAGCAGAATCTCCGCCTGATAATCATTACGCTTTCAGTTCTCCTACGTCGGGGAAAACGATCCGAACCATACAAGTAGCCCATCAATTTAAAGCCCAGACTCTGCTCTTTCCAACAATATAAGTGTCACAGCTCTACGTGAAAAAATTTACGGAACAAGCAGCTAAGGAAAAGCGAAAAAGGCTAAATTCTGGAGCCATAAACACGAACGTCTTTCCTTTGTTTTTATGGCTTTAATCCACTTTGGAGTGATTTTTTTTCCCACTTGACTGAACCTGTACATCTCCTGTGTTAATGATGGTACATGTAATATGCTAATTCTGTACTGTGGAGATCATTAAGAGTCATTGTCGGGTGAAAAAAATCTTTTGCTAACACTGTGTTGACTGCGAGCCGGAAGTGTTGGGAGTGGCATCAAGTGCTGGGCAGGATGTCCGTGGCATACAGGCTATCGAAAGAACTTATCAGGCCTCAAGCATAAAAACGTTTTTCAAATGTTGCCGTTTCCATCCACCTTTAATGCAATACTTGAAAATGCACATAAAAAAAAGGTTAATGGAAACACGGCTACAGTTTATGCTGCACAAGGATTGTCATTTGTTTAGTTTTGCACCATGATGCTTTAACTCTGCAGGGACAGGAACATGTTGGACGCAGTAACTGATCCGTCTGCAGGAGAGGCTGAAACGTCACAAACACAGCAATGATTCTGAAACTTGCATGGCATATAAAATGATGCATAGGTGGATTTGCTGATGTGATGAATAAATTGAACCAATAAATGAGGCGTGAAAACACAGCTGGATTTCTTTCATGTCTGATTGGTTAAAGTTCAGCAGGATTAAAGCAACAAAGCCSTCTTGTGCTTCATTCCTGCCTGTTTATTAGAGGGTTTACAAAACATAAGATACCCTAACCTTTTGCAACTTTCTTGTATGTATTTTATATTTTGTAATTAATTCATTTTATTTTAATGTAGTTACTGTGGGAGAAGAGAAAAGATTGGTTGTTTTACAGCTGTGTAAAAGCAGCATCAGTGTGAAACAACGTTAAACAGAGGACGCCTCAGGTTTTAGATTTGCATCACAAATGCTATTTTGAATTTAATACCAAGACATTTTCACACCAGTTCACACCTTGCTGCATGTCATGAAGACATGCTGTCCACTCTTCAGGGGGGACARTGACATTAGAGACCCCCGGGGATGGTGGGACGGAAACACAAATAAAAAACCCAGCAGTTTTTACGCTTGGAGCGCCACTCCTTTCAGGTCTGAACTGAGAAAGCTCCGCTGATAAAAAAATCTCTGAACTGAGCTCGTAAATATGTTCACATTAAAAACATATTTTTAAGTAGAGTATAAGAAGATTTTTGTTATAAATTCCATTTGTTGGTATAAAAGGGATTTAATTTCTCATTATTGGAAAAAGCTGAACTTTTTGAAAACTCGATGCTCAGAGGCTTCGCTGATGCCCACAGTTGTTTCTGTGTCGGACGGGGAGTGTTGAATTTCATCTTCCTCAGCCAGAAGTGGTGTTTGGTGCGTCGGCTGCCAGCCTCGTGTTGTCATGAGGACCAAACTCCAAGCCAAGCCCCGCATGCTTCACGCACACACCACTTTCACCAGCCGTGACCGTTCGAGATGAGTTTCTGCACGTCTCACAGCAGTCACTGATGTCTTTCACTCTTCCTCTTTTTTCTCCCCATCCTCTTCCTCTCCTTCTTCTGGGCCCTCAGCGTCTCCGAGACCAGATCAAGACGTGGGTGGCATCCAACGAGATCAAAGACAAGAGGCAGCTAGTAGAGAACCGCAAACTCATAGAAACGGTGAGTAGGAAGTCGTGTTCTTTGGGATTTTGGACTTTATGAGCTTTTCTTATTGAAAACTTAATAACTAAAACACAAAATCAAARGCTTGCATTAATTTTCACTCTGAAAAAGTAAATAGAAGCAACRTTTTTTATACAACACAATAAATGCAAACATAGATAATTGTGCAACATTTCATAACAAAGCAAAGAACCAAAACAAACAAAAAGAAGATACAGCGAGATAAAGAGAAGTAAAATAAATAAATAAACTGAGCTGCAACGTAAAACAAAATGTGATTGGTCTTAATATTAGTATAAATACCAGTATTTGTGGATTGGTAATTAATTAATGTAGGGGTACATAAAGTTTATTGAATAAAAAATTAAATAAGTGAATGAATAAAAATGAATCAGCTGGTTAAAGGGGCAAAGAAATAAAATGAGGATATATTAATCAAATACAAGAAAAATTCATAAGAATCTATTAAATGCAAAATGTAAAATGAAAACATGAGTGAAAATGTAAATATGTAATA